TGTCGGTGTTGAATCAAGTACTGTCGGAGTCACTCTGTCATCTGACTGATGATGGCGACGAGTTTGATGAGTGCTGGGGATCCAAATTTGTCGATGGCTTTGGGTGGGACACCCCAGGCGACTGCAGCGGTCTGCAGTGTTTGCTCTTGTGAGTTGCTGAGTGAAGGGAATTCCGAAGCAACAATGTCAAGGTACTTTTTTACCTGTGTTTTTTGTTTGTCGCTGATGCCTTTTATGGCACCAAACCATCTGGTGATGCCGGATTCGGAGTGAACGCCAGTGAAGTGATCTTGAAACCAAACACTGGCTTTTGTAGGCTGCTGAAAGATGCGCTGGGGATCCATCTTGGGATCAAGGGGTGCCGCCTTCGTTGGTGTAAGAGTTGACTGCTTCTGTCGCTTGGCGCCCAGAGTGGAGCGTCCCGGGAAGTGCATACCTGTGGTGGATGACGATGCTGGGGAAGCATGTAGCGGGTTGTTGTCTTGTTCTGCAGCGGTTGTGGTGAAGGGGGATAGGCCCTCAGTGGTAGGCCTGGTGTCAGGGTGTGTAGGGTCATCGATGGTGGCCCGTTTTTGTCCACGGGTGGTTGTGGTGGGGGAGATCTCAATTGTGGAAAGTGAGAGAGGTGGTGGGGAGGGCGTGTTGATGGGAGTGCTGGGCGCGGTGGTTCGTTTTGGTTTCTTTGATGCTGGTGTGCTGGGTGCCTCATTGTGTGCATCGGGAGCACGGAGAGTTTCGATTGTCTCCAGTGCTGTTGAAAGTCGTGCTTCAAGGTCGCTGATGCGATGGGCCGCCAGAGTGTCTGTCTCTGTCGGCTGCGAAGGTTGAAGTGGGAGATGAGGTTGTGATTTGCTGGATTGTGGTGGTGTTGGAGATTCGGTGGGTTGCGATTGTGTGTTGTCTGTGTCTGCTTTGACATCTTGCTTGTCCTTTTTGTTGCCGTCATTGTACTGGTCCTGCAGCTCTTGCAGGTACAACACCAATTCCTTGATGAGGTGTGACATTGCTGGTCGTTTTGCGAGTGTGAGCTTTTCTTGCCAGCAGAATGCAGTGGCTGCTTGGTCCAGATCAATTCTCCTTGCTCGGAGTTGACCCATAAGTTCAGTGGTAAAGACGGCTTCGCTGACGTGTTTGCTGCATGTAAGATGGATGTCGAAGCCATGTGCAGCGTACCGCAGCCAGTACGAAGACCAATTGTGTCGCAAAAATGCGACCAATGGTGCTGTTGCGATTGGCATGCCTGCTGTGCGGTTGTGCACTGAATGTGGTGTAGATTGAATGTGTTTGGGTAGGTTGAGGCCAAAAAGCTGCCTGTTGTCCCAATGCTCTGGTGTTTGAACGAAGTCGTTTGGTATCTGGGGATTTGCAGGCGTGGGATTGGGGTGTTGCTGTTGTTGGGTTGCGGCGGTGGTCTGAGGTAATGTATGTGACGAAATGCTGGGGTTTCGAGTCGTCATCGAAGATGGACTCACAAATGTGTGTTGGGGAGTGGCAGGTGTGAGGGTTGGCAGTGTGGTGGGTGAAATTGGGCCGGGAAACTGTTGGGGTGGGGGAGGGGGTGGAGGGAAAGGTGGGAATGTGTTGTTGTGGCTGTAAGTGTGAGCTGAACCCCAAGTAGTTGGGGCTAGCGATGAGGTGTGTGGTGGGATGTTGTGGATCCCTGGTGGTGGGGAGATGGGGTGCAATGGAGTGCTGCTGGTCGAGGTTGTTTGACGCTGCATGGTACTGATTGCTGTACCGATGATGCCTGTTGGCATTGTTGTATGCCACTGAGGCTGTGTCGGCTTGTACATGGTTGCACAGTGGGGCACTACAATTGCCTGTGACTGCAAAAGCTGCACATGGAACATGCATGAGCAACATGGTTGGCTTGAGCGTCCACATCAACTTATGCGGGGCATCCAGCATGCAGCTGCATCGAATCTTCTTTGGCTCAAAAGCGGGTCGGAGCAAATGCCTGATTGCAAACAACTATGTGTACAGGGATTCAGGCCTGGAAGAAAAAGTACTAGAGAGTTACATGAAGACACGGAAGAAAGAAAGAAGAAAGCAACATCACTGAATAAGGCCGAATCCAACGATGCTGAAGTGCCCGGAGTGGAATCCCCACTTCTCCGGGGTCCGCACAACACCCTTTCGCCCCACGATGAAGGCTTCTCTGTACATGTCTCGATACGTCATCTTGTAATGCTGATACTTAGTCCGTATTGTCCCGATGACGATCACTCCCTGTTGGCCCTTGGGCCGCCGCGTACATTGATCGGTAACTATATGTACCGTGCTTTCCGACACATCTCCTGGGGTCGCATTCCCGTATATGACGCAAGAGGGAATGGGTGGATAGGACTTGTCGTCGAAGCAATGGCTGACAGAACTTGGGCGGACCAAGTCCTCACGCATTATGCGTGCGGCACTTGCAATGCTCGTGCCGTGTCCGGCGGTGTAGATGTATGTTTCCCCTGGTGGGTCAGTGGCACGAGTGCCGAATGCTCTGCGAGTCTCTCCAGCCCACGGGATGAATAACATAGTATGCACGCCGTCCGATATTGGCGTCAGCGTTGCCCCCAATTCGTTGCACGCTGAGCGCGTGCCCGACTGTAATACGGCATGCGCGAATTCGGCTAAAGTCTCCTGCCTGAAATCGCTGTCAGCGGCTATCTCGCCCAAAGTTTTGGCGAGTTTGTGCGCTTCCTCCATGTCGACAGCGTGGGGTGTCGGCTTTTCATGATCATAAAGTTCAGAGAAAGGCGCCACGTCAATCTGTGGTGGTCTGCTCTGTTTGCCCAGTTGTTCGAGGGTTGGCTGACCCGATGGGGCAGCAGTTGTGGATGCATCAAAAATCGGAGCAGGTGTCCGAACAGAGCTGGGGGGATTGTGCCGAAGCTGTTGGCGCGAGGATGTGCCCTGGCTTGTTGGGGGCTGCTGTTGTGCTGCTTGGCTGCCCTTGATGCGAAGGGCGATGCGCTGAACCTGCGAAGCCAATGTTTTTTGTGGGACCTTGGGTGGGGTAGGTGGCCTTTGACGTGGCTGTGTGGCTCTGTAATGCCACTTGTTGGCATCATCATCACGCACTGTAGAATAGCTGCGGAGCACCACCGAGGTCCGAGGAGGTGTCGATGAAGATCGCCTGGTGTCCCTGCGAGAACGGCTTCTGCGGGTGTCGCGGGATCGGTGGTGTCTGCGTCGGCGGTGCTGTCTGCCGCTGCTTGCAGGTCGTGCTCGGCTGCGTGTGTGTCGTCGACGTCTAGTGCTCACGGTGCGAGTTCTGCTGCGTGTGGGTGAGCGCCGTCGTCTGCGTGGCAGCGGAGGGTGATGGGGAGAAGTACGTGCTGCGAGCTGGTCAGTGTCTGCCGATCCCGTATCTGGGGGTGGTTGTGCGGGTGGCACTGTATTGACGGAAGGGGTGTTGGCTGTGTTTGTTGGTTGTTGTTGGGGCGTCATTGCCGGTGTCTGCGGGGCAGTGTGTGCAGCATCGGCAGTGGGAACACTGGTGGGGTGTGGTTGTGGAGCTTGTTGGATTGTTGTTGGCGGCGGTATGTGGGATTGTGGAACGGGTTGTGTGGGAGGGATGTTGCAAGGTGCAAGTTGGGGTTGTGGGGCAGGTGGTGTAAAAGGAAGGTTGAATGTGGTAGGTTGGGCCTGATGCTGTGCCAAAGCAGATAGGTTCATGGGAAAAGCTGTTGGCTGGGTAGGCAAAAGAGCAGGGTTCATGATCGGGGTGGGGTGTTGTGACATGAATTGCTGGGGTGGAGGTTGTTGTGGCATCTGGGGTTGTGGTGTGCTGAGATGTGTGTAGACCGTCGGATGCTGTGGAATAGGAGCAGTGTGTCCACACGGCATCATGGGGAAGCCGTGCGTTTGCTCAACAGGAATCGTAGTGGGTTGTGTCGGCAGTGTGGGCTGCTGAGTGGCAGCAATGCCGGTTGGCATCATTGCTGGGTAGCTTTGTGACTGCGGTACCCAGGTGTTCTGGTGAAATTGATTAAGCACCGGTCGGGCTGTTGGTGCATATGGTGTTGCTGGTGGCTGCGCGGCAAAATAATCCGGCCACATAGCTACAACGAAGTGGGTGAAACAAACACAGTTGCACAAGCAAAGTGCAGGCTGTCCTGATTGTCCCTGCTGGACTGATTTGAGAGGTCGTAGACGGAGAGAAGGAAGAGGGCCGAGTACTCTCCGAAGAGAGCGCTGCTTCACTTGCTGTAGACATCTTTACCACGTCTGCACTCATGTCAGATGCACATGCCCTTGCAGTCCCTGAGGAATAAAGAAGCGGTAAAATACGGGGCAGACTAGAGAGGTAGCACCTGCTCACTAGACGCACTTTACTGCATTAGCCGTCCCTTACTGCACCTGCACTCATGTCAGACTCACATGCGAGCATCAGAGAGAGAGAGATAAAGTAGCATCGGGAGATTCTGAACGATCTGAACGAAGGCTGAACACCCGGTTCATCACCGGTCTCCCCGGAGGGTCACCACGGCGCCATGACGGAAAGCCGTTGCTCTGGAGTCTCATCGACCCACGCTGATCACACTGATGGATTCGGCCAAGAGTACGAGTGCAAGAGGAAAAAGAGAGGCATGTTGTTCATGTTGTAAAAGTTTTTCAGATTGCGGCAACCGTACAAAAATTGTTTGTCTAATCTGGACACCACAGGGGGCCTGTCCTCAGACTAATCTTGGCACCACAGGGGGCTGCCATGCAGGTACAAGAGGATGATCAGTCCTCTCCTCCCATGTCACTGGTAGCTTCGTTGGACACAGTCCCAGTGACATGCTGTGTCCCCCTGCAACAGTTGATTTGGTAAATGTCCAATGTCTGATTAAGTTGAAAAGCAAAAAATGCGAACAGTGTAGGAGTGACCCTCTGCTCCCATGTGCTAGGGAGGTTCACACACACACACACACACACACACACACACACACACACACACACACACACACACACACACACACACACGCACACAGACACACTTAACCTTGTGGAGGTCCAGGCGCGGCCACTCGCTGGCTTAACATCGCGCCCACCTGACGGGCTGGTCACATGGAGTCGGGGTGTTTTCTTGCGAGCGTCTCCATAACAACGCTCGAAAGATACACTCGCCAATGCTGCTAAGACCAGAATCCCGAATATGAACCACTCTGACAGGTTTTGGGGTTCAGGGCTGGGGGTTAAATGCTAGGGGTCAGGGGTTGTAGGGGTTCAGGGTTTAGGGTTTCGGACACCCCCACCTGTTGGCTCGCACGGCCCAGGCCACTTGCGACCTTGATCCTTTCGCTGGCTGACCTTGGCATTTTTTCGAACATAGTAACATGGCATTCTCTCAACGGTGAGACGAGGACGACTGCTGCTACTACTACTGCTACCACCACCACCATCACCACCACCACCAGCAGCAGCAGCAATGCTACGACTTCTCCCACCACCACGACCACCAATACTGCTTATGCTACTAGAAACAGACGCACCGTCACACTCTTCACTCTGAGCTACTTGGTGGCGTTGACGCTGGAGGGAGCATGCAGGGTCGAATCTCCCCCTCGCCTTGAAGTAGAAGAGCTGCTCAAGCGAAAGATCTCTTCGCATTCGTCGCAAAACTTCAGCTTGGCTGCGGGGCCAGGGACAGCCTCGCCCTCAGCACCACAAGACTCCGGAACAAGTCTTCGTGCTGGTGTTGCCAGTGTCTTTCGGCTGTTCCTGTCCATGCTTTCTAGCAGACGGCGCACCATGGGCTGCAAGTGTTCACCTGCGACTCGTATAAGCGGACTCGAGACGAAGAAGAGGAGCCAAACACAGGGCCACCAAATCTCTGCCCAGCTTCGAGCATGCATCATATATTCAACACAAAGATACAGAGAGGTGACGCGGACAAAGCCGAAAGTGAAGCAGATCAAGACGGTTCGCAATGCTTCGCTTTGGTGGCGGTTCCAGCTCAACATGGTCTGGAAGAAAGTCCAGAATATCTCCCAACCGGACCAGGAAGCCAGCATGCCTCCAAGCGAAGTAGCAGTAGAAAGAAGGCATTTATGAAAATTATATGTCATGGGTGACTACTGGTATGTGCATTATAAATACATATGTATATATACATACATATTTATGGGCAAGACACGACTGTAATTATTGCTAGTATTTGCGGGCGTAGAGAAACAGAAAGGCATAAGTGTTTTGCACAAAAATGTCTCTTGCAATCGCAACAGAAGGTATGGGAGTGACTGAAGCATGCAGCCACAGGCACCCCAAGCCGCCCAATCAAACGGGACTTCTCCATCCTCATGATGCTCGGACTCTAAAGACGAAGGGGGTTTGCTGCTTCGGATTCGCCAAAGAGCAGGGGAAGCGAACAAAAACTGAACATTTGCTGAGAATAGGAGTAGCTACGTTCTGAGCTGCTCCGACAATGAAGGCTGCCGCACGCAAGACCACGAAGCATCCAGCCCCACTTTGCAGCCAGTGCCATGACCTGCCCAAGGTTGTCTGCTCGGAGCGGTAGATGAAGCCCCACCGCCCAGGAAGCCTGTGGAGGTTTGGGTGTTCCGTCACGCTGGAGAGCGCCAGCATGAACGACAGGAGTATGACGAGGCCAGTGGAAAAGCATAAGATCATTGTCGCGAGAGGCTCCAGAAGAAGGTTGGTAAGCAAGGTGGCCATGGAGCCATCGGTGTCCGACTCTCTCGTGGGAAAGACCTTGAGGGCGCAGGCGAGCCAAAAGAAGAGCAGGTCCATCAGAACCACGAAACCAGCCAGGCTCATAAGCGCATCCCTGGCCGTGGGCAGATAGATCCCGAAGGCAGCTCTCCCTTTCCTGCTCCTTCTGTGCAGACTCCTCGTGATGCGTTTTTTTGTAAGTCTGAAGAGACCGACCTGGTCGCAACTTTCGTCAAAGGTTTGACAATAGGCTTCCACCACTGCGAGCAGTTTGCAGCAGCGCTCGTCAGCCTCTTCCAACTCACCCTTTCTTTCCAGAAAGAGCACCAAGTTGAAACAATGCCAAAAGGTTCGCTCTGGAAAAGCTGCTCCCAAGTGCCATTCTGCCGTGCATGCGGCATGGTACAACAGCATCTCAGCTCTGTCCACTTTCTGGCATGTGCTCGGCACACATGGGGAAGCAAGAAGATTTGCCAAGTCCACCGCGCAAGACAAGCAGGCCTCATGCGTTAGCTCAAACAATGCTCTGTAGATTGCCAACGCATGATCCAAAAGCATCTCCGCCTCACCGAACTCGTGCTGCTCTTGCAAGGTTATCGCCAGATCGCGCATCGCCTCAAGAGTGTAAGGGTGCATGTCACCCAGAAGATGACGACCTCGTTCGAGGACCTGGCCGTTGCTTCGAATTGAGGTTCTCTGCTGATACTTGATGATAGAAACAGTGCTAACCACTATCAGCACAATCACCATCATATTCCTATGACCAGAAGAATACAAATGACCATGATTATGGCGAGCATAGAACGGCATAGTTATGACAGTGCTAGCATGTCTCCCCTTTCCAACTACCACCGAGGCTCTACACTCTACATGCTCCTACACCCAAGCTTTCCTTGTCTTGAACTTTCAAAGATTCCGTCACAATCGAAGCACGCTTCGGGGTTTGTCAATCTAGGCCACAGGATTCCAGCAGAGTTTTTGTGCAAGTTCATGGATTTGGGCGCAGCTTAGTACCTATAGCTACCATAGAAAAACTCTGCACATGGCCCCTCATAAGACTTGCATTAACAAGAAGGTCATCATTTAAGCACAATGGCAAATTAACCTCTACGACAAAGAACATTGTCGTAGCAACAAACATACAGAATGCTAGACACATGAAGAACAATAGCATAGTACAACAGCAGGAAAACTTGCACCAGCAGCAGAAGCGTCAAAAGCAGGTGTCAAAAAAGAACATTGAACGAAATACAAGACAAACATCATGACGATCACAACAACGGGGCCTTTGAACAACTCCTAAACCTTGAACACTAACACCGGAACAACCGCACACCACAAAAACACTGAAACTCGAAATAATAACGCATGAACCGAATCCTATTCCTGAACCCTGAAACTCTGAACACTTTGCACTGTACCGTGAAACACCGCGAACACATCATTGAACCGTAAATCCTAAAGCCCGTATAGCTCAACCTCCTAACCCGACCACGATCTTAAACTCTTGAAGCCATAAAACCGGTAAAGTTTGGCCCGCGCCTTTCTTTGTTGTTGCTCAGCCTCTGGGAAGTCACCCAGCCCCGTCAGAACCCCCGCCAGGGTCCTTCGGGCTGTGAGAAGAAGCCCAGGTTCAAACCCCAACCCCAAAGCCGGACCACAAGAAAACGAACTACAACCAATGAAAAAAAGCGAGGTTCCAAAATTGAGATTTTGGGACGAAAGCCTGATAAAGTTGTCTGGGGGTGCTGAAACAGGCTCCTGCGCGCTTGGAGGATGTCCGGGTGGTACTCCGAGAAATCGGCAGCATCGGCCAAGAGAGCCCTGAGGAGCTCCGCGGAAAGCTTCTTCCGACCCGCGGCAGCCTCAGGGTTTTGGAATTTAGGGTTAGGGCTCTTTTTGTTTCAACTCCTTTTCTGCAAGGGCCGACAAGCTTACGAGGCTGGGATTTCGGTTTCAGGATTTTGGGGTTTCGGGGTTTGGGATGTGGGGTTTAGGCTTTGGGGTTTGGGATCTTCGGACCCATGAAAGCGCCAGGGATGTCATTATCGCTATCACGACCAATACTGCTGTGACTAGCGTTGACATGAGTGTTGTCAATCTCACTAAGCATTATCATTACCAATATCATCATAACTGGTACCATTCACACTGTTGCTTTCATGTTTGGTCCTGTTCTCAATATCGCTGGCATCATCGTTAGAAAGGTCCGTGCCACTACGGCTATCGTTATCAATATGATTTTGTAGCACGCCTACTGTTACTGGTTCTTCCATGTCCTTCTGTTCATGGAATTACCACTATCATCAAGTTGATCATTCTCGCTCGATCGGTGGCAGCCTGCAGCTGTGCCAGGATCAGCTGAACTCTGATCTGAAGTTGCCTCTGGCGGCCACACAGCGCAGCGGCCGGTGCGACTTGCTCGGATGTTGCCGACCTTCCTTGAAGTGAGACGCGCGCTCCGACGGCTTGAGACACCTCTTGGAGCAGCTTTTCCGCTTCGTCCACTTTCGCTTGTGAAAGCAATATCTGTGCCAAGACGATTTGGGGTGCATGCTGCATACTTCCGTCCCTGGGAATCGCTTGCAACATGTCTACGGCTGCTTGTCCAAGGCCGCGTTGTTGCCATTGCACCTCTGCCAGCCTGCCCAGCACACACAGGTTTGCATTGCTGTAAACGACAGGTTCTAAAACCGGCTTCGAGAAATTAGCCAGATGAAAGCAAACCTACTAAAAATTGAAAAGCAGCCAGAAACAACAACAAGGTCCCCTTACCTGCAATCGATGCTTCCACGGAGTTCGGGCTGCGCGTCCGCGAGGACCTGTCGTCTTAGCCACAGAGCTTGACGGAGCCAGCTCTGAACGTCAACCGTCACCTTGCTTGTCCAGTCTCATAGGCTAAAGGCTCCAGCTATGTAGGAAGGCTACCTGATCTGCTACCAAGTCACATCCTCGACACAGAGCAAATACGAGTCGGTCCGCGGTGTTTCGGTTGCGGGGCTAGCAGAACCACTTGCTCGATGGATGCTCTCCTCACCAGACTTGTGCTCCTGGCACTTGAGACTAGGGGATGCCATCGCTTCATCCGCCAAAATGGGTATGCAATACCTTGGCAATGCAGTTTTTCTTCTGGGTTTTTGTTTGGGGCTCTACGACACTGGCTCCAAAAAAATCAAAAAAATACAACACATGCATCACAACAGAAGTGATTTCGGCCCAAATGCTCCATCAAGCCGGTCGAGCTTTCAGGCTCGAAGCCACAGGCCTCAACCAGCTGCTCCCATCTCGACCATTCTTGGGGAGCTTTCAGCACCACGGGAATGGTAAGTCCACCAGAAACAAGTGAATTGCTCCTTGCGTCAGTACTCAGCATGGAGCCTCTCCTGAGTTTGCGGAAGGACATAGAAAGGATCCCCAGCGAGATATTCGGAAACCCAAACCACGAAAAGCAAACAACGGCCCCTAAGGTTGACCGAATCTCTTGCAAGCAAGCATGGCGAGGACCTCGGCCGTGGCCTTGGATGGGTCGGTGATGTTGTGGAAGCCCAGGTGGCTAGTGTAGTGGAAGTAGACACGCGGCTCCGTTCCCCAAGAGAAGTCTAACGCATCAGCCCAGACTTTGATATCCAGAGCTTTATGCCGCCAGACCCACTCTTCTTCAATGAACTCGTAGTCTGCATGTCTAAACCAGCCTCCGGTACGGTGTTGTGTTTCAAAAAAGTCGCGCAAGCTGCTGACCACTTCCATGCTGCCCCTCTTTCGAAGCCCATGCCGTCCCTCCTGCAACGTATGCGAAGCCTTTTGAGCCACGGCAGAAAACTTATGTAAGAGATGCACTACAAACAGTTCATCTCTGCCTGCAAGATCTGTTCCACTGCTTAGCAACTGCACAATAAATTTGAATGGATGGGGCCAAATAAGGGGTTCCGCAGATGGCACAGCGAATGTGTATGTTACGCCGGCGGTTACACCTGAATTGGTCAAAGCTTGTTGCCTACTTCTCTTAGCTCAGTGTTGCTTCTCGTCCTTTGGATGGATAGGTTTCCACAAACTAATGCAAACGGAAAGAGTTGTTCATACAATGCTGTGGAAATTGAAAAAGCCATGAATGCTGTTAAGGAACGTTGTTGTGGCACATTCTCCCCGATTTTTCGACATGGTTGATGACGCCTCTTGCATTCTTTTGCTGTCTCTGTATGACAAATCTGAAAACCTTGCTTCACAAATAGTCTGAACAATTACATATATAACGTAAAGTGGCTGATGAAAACATGTTCTTATTCCTCATCAGAATGAACCTTTGCAGTTAGAGTTGCGTCATCTTGTTTCGCTTTTGCTGTCTCCAATGAAAGCCGGGAAACGAAAACCAAAGTGAGAGATGAAATCTCGAAAATCAGCAATGGACGTCAATGCACCACAAAGCTGCTGTGTACACCGACAGCAATGGTGCCAAGCCAGAGAGAAGGTACTCCATTCAACCAGCGACGATGCAAACATCACATATAGTGGAAAAACTTGTCGCACGAAGTGAGGAGGAGGAATACTACTACTACTACTACTACTACTACTACTACTACTACGACGACTGCTACTACTACTACTACTACTACTACTACTACTACTACTACTACTACTACTGCTACTACTACTACTACTACTACTACTACTACTACTACTACTACTACTACTACTACTACTACTACTACTACTACTACTACTACTACTACTACTACTACTACTACTACTACTACTACTACTACTACTACTACTACTACTACTAGTACTACTACTACTACTACTACTACTACTACTACTACTACTACTACTACGTCTACTACTGCTACTACTGCTACTACTACTAGCACTACTGCTACGACTACTACTACTACTACTACTGCTACTACTACTTCCTCCACTTCTACCACTGCTTCTACTACGCCTACTACTTCTACTACTAATAATACAAAAACAACTACTACTACTACTACTACTACTGCTGCTACTACTACAACTACTCTACTGCTACTACATCTACTACCACTGCTGCACTAGGACAGTGTTGGTTTGTGGAATGACATCACTACTGACATGAAGGAAACAAGCACAGGAGCAGATTCTGCAATGCCTCACGCACGCCGCCATGACATGCTAATCGATAGTTGCCATTGTGCGTATCCTGTTCGTTGTCTCCTACACATTACATATGTATAACAAGACTGCTACTGCTGCTATATTTACCAGTCTTTGTCCTATGTTGCACAGACTTCCGCTACACGCGATCATTGCCAGCGATTGCTGCTGCTGAAATTTGAGGATAAAATTTATCCAATATGCCCCTACGCCAATATCAAAACCTGAAGCTCGATTTCGAATAGAACCCCAGAGAACATGAAAAGAACGGGCTCGAGGTCATCCACTTCTTCGACACATCTACAATCTACAGACGAGTCAAGGATAGCATAAGCACTGAGGCGAGAATCATAACTCGCAGACTGGCAAAGGGGCAGTAGACCTTGCCACACGATATCTGACTGTAGTACGGCATGGATGGGACAGGAAATGCTTTCTCAGAGAGCGGTTTCGGGACAGAGGGCACTTGCGTTGAGGGAGACAGGATCTGGGCTTTCACGGCTTTCGTTTGACAGTGAGCAGGGCTGACTTCTCAATCGGGCCCTTTTACTCGCTTCCCTTGCACGGTCTGTCTCCGCACCTTGGGATCATGAGACACGCATCTGCTCGGCAAACACTCATACTTTGAGCAATCCGGCTGCAGCCTTTCCTCGGCGGACTTCCATCTTTGGACACAGAAAGTACTCGGGTTTTCGGTGCCCTTGGGCACCCCCAAAGCGGAACGAGTGGAGTAAATGTCTCGCCGGTTCAAATCTCGGCATCCGGGCGGCCCTCCGGGCGGCCATGGGCTCCTGAAGCTGCACTGACTTGCATCCGATGTCTGCCTTCCTTCTAGCGATGATGCTTTGAGAGATGACAGCCATGTGTCTTGCCGATCTCGGCATCCGGGAGGCCATGCGGTGTTGAAGCAGCATCAACAAGCGCCGGATGTTCACCTTCGTGCTAGAACCGATGATGTCTTGAGAGATGACAGCCTTGCATCTTGCCCAACAGCTGCAGGCAGCTGGGTTACAACTCGCTGCATGCGGCAGGCCACGCGGTTCTGAAGCAGCACCACGAGTACACTCGGTTTCAAGCGGCTTCGTGTCTCGCCGGCGTCCACGTAACCTGGCGAGCTGATATGTGCTTGGGTCTAGGGTGGAGGGTTCAGGATGGAAACTCAGCAAGGGCGTTCCTTGTTTTGCCAGTGCGCCGACAGCTTGCCCACCTTAAACCATGGCTCGCGGGAAGGCCGTGTGCTCGTCCTGCTTTTCAGGACTCGGAAGCAAGCACAGCCAGCACGTCCTCCGGAAGTCCAGAAGTGTGGCACAGCAGCACGCACAGGCGGCGCGTCAACATCGAAAGAAATCAAGGGAATCTGAAAACCTGCATCGGGCCCGGCCCACTGTGCGGAAGGCTAAGGAGCGCCGGTGTTTGATCGGAACCGGCCCGGCTTTTGGTTGAAGAAAGGATCCAAAGACCCGACTCTGAGTTGAAACCCAGCTTTTCGAATCTAAAGTGTGGTCCCGTAGCCTGCAGAACGCTGGCATCAGAGCCTACAACGGCCTTGTTTTAGGCAACGCCTGCTGCTGGAAGGAAAACGCGGCAAAACTCTCAGACCCCGACATTCAGCCGCGCGCTCGAGTGGCTTTGATAATGCACGCAGAGCTGGCTTGGACAAAGGGGGGACTCAACAAACCTCGCGGCAGTGCGCAGTGGGGATGTCTGTGCGACTTTCCTTCTGTCACCCAAGCCAGCAGAGACAGTCAAAGGGGCCAGGCGTCCCGACGCCTGGGCTTGGAAGAAAGCCCCGCAGACACTAGCCCCAGACCATTTGCAAGCATTTCAAGCCTGATGGTGAGAAGAAGTCGAGCCTAGATAACAACCTTCTGGCAGCTGCAAGCCACCTTTCTGCAGAAGCTGGCCTGGGGCTCCTTTTGGACTTGCAGGCCCCAGGACGCAATCAGCCCGTCGTTTAGTCTTTTACATCCAGTTATGATCCACCAATGCTCAACAGGGGAGGTGCCTGAAAAATGTCTCCGCACGATACGCAGCAAACCGAAGGATCAGGAGCTCCAGCAGCGCCACGGGGCCACTTCATGAGGTGCTGCCCATCGACATGTAACCCTCAGACGTGCTTTCCGGCAAGTTAATAGCACGCTGCATGCAGATATGCCAAGAAGCAAGAAAACATCGAAGAATAATGCCAACAGCCATCTACTACCCCCGTCTTGCGACGTTTCTTAAAACTAAGCGGGATGCACAACCTGGGATAAAACCTCAAGCCTTAAGTACACGTGGTGGCAGCAACTAGCCGCTAGCCATGGCCTTTCGGAGACAGCAGGCAACAGACTCCAGGCAGGCTCCAGGGACAGTACACGCAGGTTTAGGGTTTAGGGTCTATGGACAGTCAAGGGGGCCAGGCGTCGTAATAGATAGGGTTTATGGACAGTCAAGGGGGCCAAGCGTCGCGATGCCCTGGCTTGCAAGAAAGCGGTGCAGAGTCGCTTTCTCAGTTTACCCGGGTGTCGGGTTTAGGGTTGTAGGGGTTTTTACGGTTCTTAGGGCTTAGGGTCATTACAAGCTTCTGGCGGGGCCTTGCAGAAAAAGGCGCACCGGACCAGCCCGGCCGCCTGGATCCGATCCGGGCATGCACAGACGCTCGCAGGCAACTACTTGCACTCATGTCAAGCATGGTGCAGATGAGACGTCTTCGAGCCTACATTACTTACATTCTGCAGTTTTGCGAATTTACGTTCGAATCAGACTCAGGTCAAGGAGCGTCTTGACACGGAAAGGGAAGCCTACTGCAGAGCCCGATCTTCGCGCACGTGGGGCGGCGGCGGCATAGAGAAGTCATAGGGACCCTTAAAGGGGTAGGGGGAGGGGGGTAGGCGGCCTTAATGCCCATAATAAGGACCCAATTTGGCCTATTTCCCCTTCCGCCCCTAAGGGTCCCTGTCAAGAA